ACAGCTGAAGCCACGAGCCAAAATAAATCTTTCCTCCTTATAAACTGATCATCTCAATTATTTTTATGGTAATGGAAAGCTAACACAGCATCATCAGCGTCATGTGACTGCTATGAACAAACGGAGGGAATATGTCTTTTCACAGCAGTAGGATCCAAAAGGGTATTCCAGTTGAAGTGTGAGTGCAGATGCCACAGAAGAGCCATCCAGGGCCAAGGCAAGGAATTCAGAAAGCAGGCAGCAGGGCCCACTGTGCTGTGCTTATATTAGGCACTCACCCAACTTCATCAGCGTTAGAGAAATCAGTCCCATAATCTCAAGTACCTTCTTCATTAAAATAGCACAGAGACATTTTCACAGTTTTCAGTGCATGAAAACTCCCTGGGAAGCAGCTGAGACAGATTTCTCTTGCTTCTGCTTTACCTGGGTCTTAGGAAATGTTCCATGTTATCCCCACAACAGTTTCCAAAACAGCACTTCCTCAAGGCTATTCTAGGGCTGCTCCGCTTCCCATTTCCTGTCCAAGGTCAGGAAGTATTCTTAAAGAAACAGCAAGAATCCTGACACAGCATGTTGTGATTCAAAGCAACAAGTGTTTAGAAATGGTTTGCTCTGCAGAAATAAAATACATCACAGTCTTGTTATTTGTAAGCAGACTTCCGGAGGAAGGTATGGTACATAGGATATGTATAATGTAGTGCTTAAGCTTCACGTTGAATATGTTAAAGTGGAGGGGTTCTCTAAGTTAAAGGATGGTATAATCCTGTCTGTGCCAGCCAGTGGCTAAGGGTGGGTATGGAACTCAGGAGTGGCAAAGACGAGATAAAATGGAAGGTCACACATATATTGTAAAATACTTTTACAAAAAGGGAGGGTCATATAAATATTGTGAAAAACTGGTGTTTATATTGAAAAATAAAAAATCATTCTGGAAACCCAAAAGAAAAAATAACCACATGAGTAGATTCTATTTGGGGCTGGAAGTGTGAGGAGGTTGAGACAAGAAAATATTTTGATACTAAAATTTAAGAGCCCTCAGAATGAAAAGAGCCAAGCAGGAGAGTGAAGAGGGTGGGAAGAAGAAGTCCTACACAGGTTCAGCCGGAAATTATTTCAGCCTCGACCAGAGATGCAGTGGAAGTGAGAAAGAAAACTCTCAGTTTGTCCAATTTCTGCTCAGGAAGTGGAGTGAGGGTCCCAGGGGAATGAGTGAGGCCAGAGAAGGAAATGGAAGAATAATAGATGATTGCCAAGCCCTTGAGTTTGGGAAGTGGGGAGGTGTTATTGACAGTCAAGAAGGGAAAGAAGGTGTCTTAAAAAGGAAACAAACAGGGTTCATTTTTAGGTTGGTTATTTGATGTATGAGGCGAAACACTTAAAAAGTCAAGACTTGGGGGAGGATGTGTCTAGGAAAGAAAAGGCCAAGGGGAGAGCTACCCACAGGGATGACTCCATTCACTTCACAAGTGCATAAAAAATGTCTGCAGGGCCAGGTTTAGCAGGAGGTGAAAACCCAGAGAACAGGAACACAGTTGGTTGAGAGCTATTAGATGGCAGCTCGTCCAGATTCCATACATCTGCTTCTGTGTGCCTTTCAGTGCATTCAGCTGGCTCATGAACATTGTCGAATCTGCTTTTGTCAGACTGGAAGAATAAATCTTTGGTGACTAAGGCAAGAAAGGATGAGGAAGCCAAATGAAAATTTGTGGATAAAGCAAGGGTAAATGTCGTAATTTCATTTATCAATGGGAGTGAAACTTTATAAATAACCAGAAGGAAGGCAGAGAAGATTTTGACAGGACAAACACAGGCTTAGTTTTGAAAATACAAAAAAAAAAAAAAAAAAAAAAAAAAATGGCAAAAGCAGAGGAGCAGAGGACAAGAGGAGGTTAAATAGACAAGCGAGCTGGATGCGCGTGGGGGAGGTGCTAGGGGTTCAAGGCAAATGTCTGGCATGATACCCTAAGGGAGAGGGCCTCCTGTCCTTCACTTCAAGAAACACAAGCAACCTCTACCACATCCTCACCACCAGCCACACACAGAACCAGCACATGAAGAATCCACAGAGAAGGGGAGTTGTTTGACTTTGATTCATGCACCAGGGTTAGAGAACAAGCAGAGACTTGATAAATGGGGTGATCAACAACTTAGAGGGGAATGTAAACTATTGCTGAAACAGTATCCAGAATTTTTGTGATTTAAGAAAAGAACCATTTGGGACTCATAGTGAGAGCTTGGGGAATCTGGACTCTCAATAGATTTTCTGATCCTCAAAGAGTGGGATTTGACAAACACCAAGAGATGCTAATCTATTTACCTCCATTAGATTCCTTTTTCACACTCTCACACATGCATGCAAAAATATGAGGAGCGGCTTACCTGTAGGTGGTGATCTGTTTGTGACTGTGGTTTTTTTGTTTTGTTTGTTTTGTTTTTTGAGACAGGGTCTTGCTATGTAGTTCAGGCTGGCCTCAAACTCACAATGATCAGAGTGCTGGAATCACAGGTGTGGCCACCATGCCCTGCCCTGTTTTCCTTTTCTTTTCTTTTCTTTTTGTTTAAGGGGTGATTTATTGAAGAGCATTGGTGATTTTATATTATTTAACATTTCAATTCATTTTATAAGAAAAAAACCTTTATTTTTAAGTCAGGTAACTTTGAAGAAAGCCAGAGAACTGAAAATTAAGCCAAATGAAAGGATAAGCCCTCTTAATGCCTAAATATTTAAGCAGTTAATCCTTTAAAAATCTTTTTTAACATAGTTCCATGAAATGTGTGGCATTTTTGCCAGGAAGTAGGAACTTAAGACATCATGACTTCAAAATACAACTGTGGCCATTTGTTTAGAATGACTTCCTTCCCCCACAGTAGGTGTCATAGGTCGGAGGTAAAGACAAACATTCAGTAGAGACTTGGTGGGTAGAGTAGATTGCAAACTCAGCTGAAATATATAGGTCCATACTCTATAGAGAGAAAAGATCCAGAGATTATTAGAAAATCTCATGGTAGCTCTATGTTTTGGGTGGGAATGAATCATTCACTGAAGCTCATCTCCATGACAAAATCCTATTTGGGGAGGTTTCCGTATGTGACCTCTTTGGGCACACATACCTTCTGGCTTTCTGAGCCAGACTTAATTTCAAACGTATTATCAAGATATCCCACAAACCATTGCAATGTTCCAACAAGTTCAGCATTTTTGACTTGTGAACTGCACAACTCACATTGCTCTGGGAATTTGGAAGCAACACCCAAGCTCTCTGTGCATTGTGTGTTTGAAATTTAGTCTGGAGAATGTGGCAGCTGGATTTACACACATGCCTGTCGGAGCTCTGCCTTAGCCTGGCTCCCATACTGGCTTCCTGTGGAAACAGAGCAGAGCTAGACAGGGCCCCACACAATTAATTGCAGTGCTGCAGTCAGAGATGCAAGACATTCCTCTGTTGGTAGGGTGCAGAGAGGTTGCCACTTGGGGCTATGAGCGTTATGCCTTTGAAGAGGTACACAACTCAGAGGAGTTGGCTCCTAAAGGCAAAAACGGGGACTAACCTTCTTTTACTGTCCACATTTCACTTCCTTTTTTTTTTTTTTTTTTTTGAGGCAGGTCTTACTTTGTATTTGAGGCTGATTGTGTACCCCAGGCAGGCCATGAAATTGTGGCAGTCCTCCTACCTCAGCCTCCTGAGTGCTGGGATTACAAGCATGCATCCTCATGTCTGCTTGCATGTACCTTTTCTTTACTGTTGTTTAGGTAGGAATATCTGAATAATTTCATCATTTATACAGAAATTTGATGTCATGTGGTAGTGTTTTGTTTTGCTTTTGGGGTTTTTTTTTTGTTTTTTCTTGTTTTTTTCTTTTGGGTTTTTGATTTTGTTTTGGTGCTGGAAATTCGGTGCAGGGTCTTGCACACAGGAAACACGTGCTTTGCCCTGAGCTGCACCTGCTGTGGTAGTGTTTTCAGTGTTCACAGCTACCATACAGTCATCCTTCATTGTGTCTCTGGCCTTTCCCCCTTAAATAAGGCAGTTAAACGAGTAGTTACTTAAGTTGCAAAATGAAGTACCGTTTCATAAATGGTTGGAATCATTAACATTAATTCATAATCGCTTGGGCTATTACACCTAAGTTTCTTGCAGTATTTTAACTTAATTTAACATTGTTTTAGTATAGATCCTTTAGTGTCGATAACCGTTTTATTTTGTTTTGTTTTGGGTTTTTTGAGACAGGGTCTCACTGTGTAGCCCAGGCTTACCCTGAACTCAGAGGTCCTCCAGCCTCAGCCTCCTTGAGTATTGGGATTATAGGCATGTGCCTCACCTGGCAAGGGGCTTTTAATTAAAAAATCATGTCTTCCTGAAAAATAGTTACTAAACATAAGGTTTGTGTAGCCAAGCAGCTATCTTGTAGAAGAAATTAATTCTGATAATTTATTGGTTTATTTGAAAAATTTTTTGTTTTGTTTGTGAGCCTTTGAGGTGCTGGGATCTAGCTGCTCCAGGGGCTGTACATGTGGGGCAAGTGCTCTACAAATAGGCTGCACCCAGCCCTGGAGGATTGTTTTGGGTTAACATAGCCCCTCATTTCTAGAGTATCTTAAGCTTTCAAGAAGGCAGAATAAAAACATGTTTTAAAAATCTAATATTTGAAGCACCAAATAAAAATAAGAATTGTTTTAGTCTATGATAGACTTGAAGTATCTTTAATGTGTCCTCTGCCTATAGAGATAGAAAGGCACATGTTTTTTTAAAGAGAGAAAAATATTTTTGCTTTTATTATTGGTTGTTTAAAAAAGGTCTTATTGTGTAGCTTTAATATGTATTTGTTTTTGTGGGAAAGCACAAAAATAAGCATTTAAAAGTGTAGCCAGTGTGATGAAAACAGAATCACACACACAAAAAAATACAGCAAGTACTGTAAGGACAGTTATGGGTGAAAGGGGCTGATGTAGATAAATTTACATGACCTGTTAACAAGTTTGATTGATGATATTCAAACACTTTTCTTTTTCTGTTTGTGAGCAAAGGTTCCCCCTCGGGCAGAAGAAATCACCATTCCAGCTGATGTCACCCCTGAGAGAGTCCCAACACACATTGTGGATTACTCAGGTAATGGGTGAGGTCTGTAGGAGAAGCCCTAGGTTAATTTAAGTCATGAAAACAGATTTTCTGTTTTTTATTGTGTTTTGTTTTGAGACAGGGTATTGCTATGTGTTCTGGGCTGGTCTTGAACTCACTATGTAGCACAGGCTGGTCTTGAACTCAGGGCATTCCTGTCTCAGCCTCCCAAGCACTAGAATTACAGGAGTGTGCTGCCAGCACCTGGGTTTTCTTCGTTTGTTTGTTTTTTGTCTTCTTGAGACAGGGTCTCGCTATGCAGTTCAGGCTGGCCTTGAGCTCACTTTGTAGCCCAAGCTGGTCTCGGACTCGCAACGATCCTCCTGCCTCAGCCTCCCAAGTGCTGGGATTGTAGGCCTGCACCACCATGCCTGGCTAGCATCTGGATTTTGAAAACAGATTCTTACTAAACTTTTGAAAATGTTCAGAGAGTGTACGCCATTCCCATCACCACAGCCAGAAAGTCAGATGGACAAAGAATTGGCTAGTGGTGAATGCTTTTTGAAGGCAAATAGAAAATGGGAGCAATAAAGGCTAAACAAGCAGAAGCTCTCAGCAAAAGACAAGAGGAAGAAAATGAAGCATTTATTCCACCGAAACAAAAGCCAGTTGCAAAACCTAAGGAAGCTTCCGCTGCAATTAAAAATTGACATGGCCACCGTTAAGGAGAAGTCAGGAGAGCAGAGAAGAAACTTGGGCTCTCACAGCTGAGGAGGTTAAGTTTCAGCTGGAAGCAGGTACAAAGAGAAAGAAGAAAAAGTAACGTGAGGGAACAAAACTTGAACTACTTGTGAATCTGTCTCCTTTTGGGAAGGATTTTGTGAGGGATTTTGAGAGACCAGGGCATTAGTTGCCCTATAGTACTCTGATCACCTTTTTTTTGAGTTTTATTTGTTCATGAAACAGTACTTTTTATAAATATAAATTGTTCTGTTTTTCATGTGTTGTTCTGAGAAATTTTGTGCTACAAAGTAGTATACATGTCATGTATATTATATAACCACTTCCAGGAAGGTTTTACTGACATAGGATTTTAAGAGTAACTTTTTCCCTTTGAATTTTTATATAGATGTGAATATAATTACGCATTAAATTCAAAGAATGTCTGAAGCCGTTGGTTAGTCTTTTTCTCTTTCTTTCTTTTTTTTTGGTCTTTTTGAGACAGGGTCTCGCTATGCAGTTCAGGCTGGCCTTGAGCTCACTTTGTAGCCAGGCTGGTCTCGAACTTGCAGCAATCCTCCTGCCTCAGCCTCCCAAGTGCTAGGATTGCAGGCGTGCTCCACCACGCCCGGCTCTGAAGTTTTAATTTTCTGTGTTTTCGAGGGTCAATAAAATTTTCAGTTTTTTAAGAATAACTACTGGAGAATTAACTATTATGTATGTGGTTTACCTTGTATGTCTGTTGGACAGTACTGTTCTAGAAGCTGAGGAAGACCAAATCTCTTCTGCCTCAATAAGTCTTATAGGGGCTGGGGATTTAGCTCAGCGGCACAGTGCCTGCCTGGCAAGCGTAAGGTCGTGAGTTTGATTTCTGATACTGGGAAAAAACCCAAAACAAACAAACAAACAAAAATAAGTCTTATAACTAGCCTTAGATGTAAAGCCTTAATCTGTTAATTACTGAAGATGTGGGAAGGTATTGAAGGTATGACCAGTTTACATGTGGGAAGTAATAGGCCGACTGGGGGGAAGGCAACAAGTAAGCCAAGGTGATCTCAGTATCTCAGCATCTCATTTGGCCTTTGACTTTGTGTGTAGGGACTCTGTCTGAACTGCTGACTCTGAAGCACTCAGTCTTCCAGCTGGGGTTGCTGGTCTTTCTTGCCTGACCTTCCTCAACTCTGGACCAGATGCGGGCCTAGATTTATCACACACTGGCCCTGCCCTCCTGTGTCTGAGCTATCCTCTTGTAGTCTGGTCTTGCATGGCTAGCCAGTTTCCTTGGCATAGTTCACCTGGCTCTTCCCTGGCTTGCCCGTCTTTCCACCTAGCCTGATGCTAACCTCCAGGTCATTTTGAGGGATGTTAGGTGGGCGTGGTGTCGATACTTAACTTGACTGTGAAAGCACTTACTTATGACAGTGCTTAAAATACGAACTGCTGAATTTTTGTCATTTGTAGAAGCCGAACAGAGTGATGAGCAACTTCATCAAGAAATATCACAGGTGAGTTAAAAAAAATAGTTGCGGAGAGGTTTGTTTTGGTGGAAAAATAGTGATGATTTTTCTGTTTTTCTTTTCATTTTCTCACCAAGAATTTTAATTCTTTATTGTAACTGCTGATTTTGTGTGTGTATTTTTGCTGTAAGTTGTAATGTCTTAGGAATATTTTTCTGTTACAAAGCAAGCTTTTTTTTTCTCCAGATTTATTTTTCCTTTGGCCTTAATATATTAGCTAGTTGGTAAATAAATATTACTGTTTATAATTTGTTTTAAATGGCACTAATTTGTTAATTTTTCTTTTAGGCTAATGTCATCTGCATAGTTTATGCTGTTAATAATAAACATTCTATTGATAAGGTATGAATGCATGACTATATCTAGTTAGTTTATTTCATAGTTAAGTGTTTTTTGTTGTTTTGTTTTGTTTTGTTTTCGGTATTGGGGATCGAACTCACGACCTTGCGCTTGCCAGGCAGGCGCTTACGCCACTGAGCTACGTCTCCCAGCCCTCATAGTTAAGTTTTAATGGGGCACTTTCAAAATTGATTTTCAGTTTTGAATTTTAAAGATCTAAGGGATAGTGTTTTTCAAAGAAGATCTACATCATGGCTTAACTCATTAATTTCATCGTAGGTAACAAGTCGATGGATTCCTCTTATAAATGAAAGAACAGACAAAGACAGCAGGTATTTTTTTCTATTTCCAACTTTGTATTAAAACATTTCAGATTTACAGACAAGGTGCAAGAAGTAGCAATGAACATCTGTAAAGTCCTTTCTTAGATCCACCAGTTGTTAACCCTGGGCCACATTTGCTCTGTCTGTAGGTTTGTCTCTATCCACTCACCTACACACACACACACACACACA